TGTGGAAACTATTTGGAAGTAAAAACAGGCAAAAGGCTTTATGTGGTTTTTTTGTATTTGTGTTTTGTATGTTTTTGGAGCCTTCTATTCTGTGTGGTCCAAGAAGAAAAAAAAACTCCCAACCTTATTCATTTTAAATTCCCACAGACTTCAGTTTTCAAATCACTTAACTCTACCAACACTCATATTTGGGTAAGGAAGGACCAATTAACATAAGAATCTGTCTATACTGGGCCTTCCTGAAGTGTGTGTTGGCTAAAGGCATTAGATGAGAGTAAACTGGGAATATGAACTATGAACTGGGACTAAGAATGAGAATCAGAAAAGGATTAATGAGGAAGAGGATACTAAATCTGTCTTCTCCCACACTGAGAGAGTGACTCAGTTTGCTGTCTGATGTAGGAAATGTAGACTTTTTAAAAATTTATTTTGTTTTAATCTTGTTTTAATTTGTAAAATTACCCTTAACCGCAGGATTCAGATTTTTTTTTAACTTTTGAGAAGTTCATATAGATAAATTGAGAAGTGATGAGCAGCTTTGTTCTAATAACAGCAGCATGAGTGCTAAGTATGTGCCACACATGAGAAATGATGACACAGCTGGATACACTACAATATTTGCTTTACCCTTGATTCTTAAATGCTCTTATAAAGTATGTCTCCATTTTGAAGAACTGAGGCTGAGAGAGGATGAGAAGCTTGTCTAAGATCACATAGCTAAGGTGGTAGAGCCATCCCTATCCAAGCACAGAAATGTGGATTCTTTTCACTATCTTATTTTGAAATATCACTTTATAGTTCAAATATTTATGAAGTGGTATACTTTTTTAAAATCTATTTTTATTGATTTCTGAGAGGAAGGAAGAGGGAGAGAGAGAGAGAGAGAGAAACATAAGTGATGAGAGAGAATCATTAATCGGCTGCTCCTATACTGCACACCCCCAACAGTGTTTAACTTTTTAAATTTTTTTTATAGCAAAGGTGGAAATTTATTGAGAAACAAGCACAGAGTCCCATGTGGAGAGGGGGAAGAGTCCCCTGTTTAGCTATTTTTAACTATTAGGGCATTTTCTCATGAAGAGTGTTCACTAATTTGATGATCTTAATAATAAAAGAATGAAAATCGCCCTAACCCAGCGGTTCTCAACCTGTGGGTCACCAACCTGTGGGTTGCGACCCCTTTGGAGGTCGAACGACCCTTTCACAGGGGTCGCCTAAGACCATCGGAAATTATATATAAAAAAATTTCTTTTCCCATATATAATTACATATTGTTTTTGTGATTAATTACTATGCTTTAATTATGTTCAATTTGTAATAATGAAAATACATCCTGCATATCAGATATTTACATTATGATTCATAACAGTAGCAAAATTACAGTTATGAAGTAGCAACGAAAATAATTTTGTGGTTGGGGGTCACCACAACATGAGGAACTGTATTAAAGGGTCGCGGCATTTGGAAGGTTGAGAACCACTGCCCTAACCGGTTTGGCTCAGTGGATAGAGCGTCAGCCTGCGGACTGAAGGGTCCCAGGTTTGATTCCGGTCAAGGGCATGTACCTTGGTTGCGGGCACATCCCCAGTGCAGGGTGTGCAGGAGGCAGCTGATCGATGTTTCTCATGATGTTTCTAACTCTCTCTCTCCCTCCCTCTCTGTAAAAAATCAATAAAAAAATATTTTTTTAAAAACCCTATTCTGGTAAAGTTAATGAAAAATTAGAATCAAGAGTCCCTATATATTGACTAAGGAGAAAAAACTAGAAATTATAAACTTTATTATGCTTTTAAAATAATCCAGTTTAGAGAGTTTCTTTGCCATCATCTAGTCAGGCTTATTAACCACAAAAGAATTCCTTCTAAAACATTCAGCCTCCACTAGAAAACTGCCATAGTAGAAAGCATTGCTTCTTAAGACAGCTCAGACATTTGTTGAATTTGTCCTGTAGAAGCTATTTCACTGAACCTAAATCTGTTTTTGTATTTGTCTCCTTCTGTGGCAGCCCATACATCTTCTCTTCTAGCATTAAATTTCCTCCCAGTCTTCCAGCTCTCATTCTTCCCTCTTCTGCTCTCATTCATACTTTATCAGACTTCTCTTTTAATTTTCCTATTGACCCTCCTTCATATGACTTATATCTATCTCATTCCTTCTTAACAATGTAAATAGAAACTAAAAACACAAATAAATAGAAAAATATAAACAAACCTATGGTAACCTCTGCATAGCCATGACCAGGAAGAACTCCAGCTGTTGCTGCTGCTGATTCTTTGTACTCCTTTGAAGTCATCCCTTTATTTTTATTTTTTGAGAAACACCAATGATGAGAGAGAATCATTGATTGGCTGCCTCCTGCATGCTCGAGCCTGCAACCTGGGCATGTTTTCTTGACCGGAGTCGAATCTGGGACCCTTCAGTCCACAGGCTTATGCTCTATCCACTGAGCCAAACCGACTAGGGCTCATCCCTTTATTATTAAAATAATTTGAAAATTACTCTTATCTCAAGACAAAAGCTGAAATGGGCTTTTCACAAAGTATTGGTAGGTTTGTAGTGATTTCTAAATATATAATTAGGATTGACTTTTCTCTGTGTTTCTTCATTGCTCAGCCTCTTTCTACCCTTCATTTTCTGAAACCAGATACTCATATCATCATCTCTGATTTTGCAGAATTGATCTGTCCTTATACTACTACATTTAGCATTAATTCTATATGGAACATAAATTGTTTTTCTGACCATATATATTCCATAGCTGTATTAGTCTATAACCATGCAGCATAACTTTAACCTGATTAGTTCATTGAAAGGAATGCCCTAAAATTTAGAGTGCAATCTGCTAATAAAAACAATAAAGTCTGCCCTGGCCGGTGTGGCTCAGTTGGTTGAGCGTTGTCCCATGCACCAAAAGGTTGCTGGTCCTATTCTGGTCAGGGCACATACCCAGGTTGCAGGGTTTGATCCCAGGTCTAGGGCATGTTTGGGAGACAACCTAGCAATGTTTCTCTCCCTCCCTTCTCCCTCCCTCTCTCCTCCCTTCCTCCCTCAAATCAGTAAACATATCCTCAGGTGAAGATAAAAATAAAAAATAAAGTGTGCTAGAGAAATATAAAAATTTATAGGAAAGACAATAAAAGTTAGTGTTGGATTTTATTTGATTTTTTTAAAGTGAATAAGGCAGTATTGTGTCTGTCTGAATAACAACTCTCTTGAGAAATGATGACTTAGCTGGAACTTCTGACTAAACTTGATCTTACAGTACAAGTGTGACTTGTTGAGATGGTTCTTTGAATGTCAAGAATGCTCTAATCACTGTTTTTGATATTAAGAATTGAAATATTTTGACTGTTGGTTAAATTTGTTTCTAAAAACTGACAGACAGTGGAGACTCAGTTGAGATATTGATACATGATTCCATTTAGCTAAAGATTGCATGGATAATTGAAGTTAATCCCAGTTGTTGGTATGTAACATAGGGGGTTAAAAACAAGATCCAGATTGAAAAAGATGGTCACTTGGACTAGGGTGAGAATGGTAAAGATAATCAGAAGTGGTCAGATTCAGGATATATTTATTTATTTGAGGCCCGATGCACGAAGATTCGTGCAAGAATAGACCTTCCTGCCCTAACCGGTTTGGCTCAGTGGATGGAGCATCGGCCTGCGGACTGAAAGGTCCCAGGTTCAATTCCGGTCAAGGGCATGTACCTTGGTTACGGGCATATCCCCAGTAGGAGGTGTGCAGGAGGCAGCTGATCGATGTTTCTCTCTCATCGATGTTTCTAACTCTCTATCGCTCTCCCTTCCTCTCTAAAAAATCAATAAAATATATTTTAAAAAAGAAAAAAATAGATCCTTCCCCTGGCTGCCAGCACCACCTTCGCTCTGGCCGGAGCACAGGCTTTTCCGCACTGCACCCAGCTGCCTGCCAGCTTTGTCAGGTTGATTTGCATACTCACTCCTGATTGGCTAGTGGGCATCACCAAGGGACAGTCAACTTACATATTTCTCTTTTATTGGTGTAGATTTTGTTTAAGCATATACTTAAAGGTAGAGCTGTCATAATTTGCTGTTGGGTGTCAGAGAGAGAGATATTATGGGTGACCTTGAGGTTTTTTGCTTAAACAATTGGTAAAGTGAGTTGCCCTTATCTAACATAGGAAAACTGTTGTTGAAGGAGCCAAGTTCTGTATACCAACTGATGTTTATGTTTGACTGACATTAGTAGTCACTAAAGAAAGCTTATGAGGAAGCGTGCACTGGAATTCCTGAAATAGACTGAAATATTGCGTGTGGACCAAAGGGGCACTAGGTTATATTATCAGAATGTCATACACGGTATGTTAGTTGTTAGATGTTCTCTATAACTTGCCATAAATAGTTTAACTAGGAAATCTTTATTATAAAGTAAAACTTAAAATCCTCAGTGTTTATAATTGTCAAGCCTCTTAGTTGTTAAATGTTGTTGTAAAGATACTTCTGGGTATACAAGTGCACCAAGAACTCTAATTTTACATTTCTATTTTTGCTTTTGAAAGACAATATTTTATCCATAGTAATTCTGGATTTTATTTCTTGAGGTGGAGATTTTTAGTTCAAGTTCAGGTGGCAGAGAAGGAATTCAATAAGAGATTAAATTTATTACATTTTCAACCATTTTTCTTTATCTGTATAATGGGTAAATAATAGCAACTATGTTATAAGTTAAACCCTTTAGTCCCAAAACAGTAAATGTAGATTTGTTGTTTTTTTATACATGGTACATATTTCAATAATGTTCTTTTAAATATAACGAGATTTTTATTCTTGGTTTTTAAGGAAACTTTAGCCAAATATTTCATACATAATTTAAATTGTTCTTTTTCCTCTTAGATGTGGAGAGATATTGGCTGAAAACATTTTAGTTGCAAACTTTTCTTATGTGCTACTGTCGTATTTATCTAGCACTTGAATTTTCAAACATATTTTGACCCCAAACTATGATTTTTGTCATTGCAGGCAAGAAGACAACAAGACCCTAGTCCTGGTTCCACTTTAGGTGGTGATGACTTCAAACTTCGTTAATTAGTAGCACAGCAGATGTGCTCCCCAAATCTTTCCACGTACATTGTTTCTAGTCGACAAAAATAATTGATTAAAAGACCAGAAACTGTGATAACTGGAGGTACTACATACAGCCTATCTCTCAACCTTAGGCAGTAACAAGACATCACAAACTGCCATGGTTTTGCACTATGATTATAATACCTGCATTTCTAATTTTGTATGCATGTAGCCAGTAATGAATTTACATTTTTTCTATGCAAACTTACCTTGTTGGCATTATTTTAGTGAGTTGAAACTATCTACTTGTAAAGCTCTTATTTGTCCTCCATTTTAATTTAAAAGTTCATGTCATTTAAAAACAAGTCAATAAATTTAAATTTTTATCAGAGGGTTTTATCCCTAATCAGTTACTCTAATTTTTTTTCCCCCTTTTTTTGTGTGATTTTAGATGTGTTGGTTATACAGCTGCATTTTAGCTAGGCATTCTTGTTTTTTTGTTTTGTTTCCCCCATTTTCTTTTGTGTTTTTATTGTCTATGGCATTTTAAAACTGCTGATGTGTTTGCATTATTTACAAGCTAAAACCCTAGTAGCATAGAGCTGTCTGCCACAGCCTTCTAACAAAGTTTACAGTTAAAGTTGCAGTATCCTTTTAAATGTTGATAATCAGCTCCTTTTCTTTCCTTCTTAAATATAAAAATTTTTAATTGGCATTGACTCTAATCTTCCCCAGATCTATTTTAGATTCTGTTCTATAATCATAAGTTTGTGTGGAGATAATCTCCTTAATGATAATATTCTACTGAAATGCCTAAAGAAGTCGCAGGCTGGCTTCTGTTTTATTCAGGGATTTTCTTTTTTTTTAAGTCAATCAGAAAAGGGATACTGGAGCTTCTTCATGTATGTAACAGCATATTAAACTGGAGACAGTGATGAATCAGCTACAAAGGTAATATTGTATTAAAATCATGTTTAAGATAGCTGCTTTTATGTGTATTTTATAATGCATGCTTTTGTAAAAACAATGCTGGGTGATAAAAGATTAGTGTTAGAGAGAAAATGTTCATCTGTGCAGAGGATACATTTTCTTCCATTAATTATTATGGGGAAAAAATTCACAGGTTATATATATGGTATTTTCCAAAAGGACTATTAATAGAACCTTTTGAGATGAATTAGTACGGGAATATTTTTTAAATAGGCTCACTGTCAAATTGAATGCAACTTGTTTTTGTTTTTTTGTTTTGTTTTTAATACAAGACTGGAAAAAAGTGCTAAGTCATTTGGCACCTCCTTACAAATATTTTTCATGGTCACATTCATTAAATGTTACTACATTTCTGAATTTTTTTGCAAAAATGTATTTTACCATGATAGAATGGCATTATTTTAAAGAATTTGAAAAACTGACATGGTCAGTTCAGAAAATGAACTGAATTCTGAATAAGGTCATTGCATTTAAAACACATATATACTTGATTGATGAGGGAGGTATGACTTTCATTGTACATAGGTCTTATAATTCATAAACATATCCAGTATCTCAGAATAAAAACGTTTGTTATATATTTGAAGTCATGCATGGTAAGGAGTGTGTTTAAATTGTTATAAACAATAATACATCATAAAAGACCATGCTGATCTTGTGTAACTAAGTACTATGAATGAATTTGGTTGTTATTTGGTGTTATACAGCTCACATGTTTACACACTCAGTGCCCTAATTTCCCCTGAGGGAATCGCCTTTTAAGTGGTCCTTACAGTGGTGTTTTAAGGTTACTTTATCACAGAGCTCCTTGGTTTTTGACTTCTGCACTTAAAATTTTTTTAGTAACAATGATGATGATGGTACATTTTTCTCTATTGCTTTAGTCCACCAATAACTATGATCAAATCTATTAAGTGTTCATGTTGCCATTGTTGTGTAAATACTGAATTTTTCCTGTCATTTAGCATTGTGCTGCTTTCGTCTGTCTTAATGCTGGCATTAAGATCATGAGCCCTTTTTCTCCAATAGTGCAAGCTTTGAAAACTACTTTTATTAAGTTATTGATGCAATCTGATATTTTTTCAAAACCTATATTTAAACAAAGTTACACCATTGCATCATCTTTTTTAAATTCATCTCCATTAAAACTTGCCTTAACCTACCAGATTGCTTTCGCCACTATTAGCCATACTGTGTGTTTGTATGTTTAATTTACTTTCACAATAAAGTTCTGTGTAGTGAAAACAAGGTCTTGGCTCTTTATTGGACATAATCCAACAGTTTCTCTTCTAGTGTTCATTATGACACAAAAATTGATTTTGTTACTCTGAACTGTTCTTTCATCCTGTTTTATAACCCTAAAAAAATGACAACAGTGGCATCTAGTGGTATTTCTCCAACCTAATTTCAAAGAAAACGTTTAATGTAAATATCACAAAGAATACTAATTTCCTAATGTATATTGTGGTTTTCAAAAGTCTGGCTTAATTTACCTATCCAATGAGATATGACTATAAAGTAGTGATGTCATTTTGGAGGGGAGGAAGAATTTAAAAAATTACATATCCAAATTAGTACCATCTTTCAAGCTAGTACCTGAAAATTAAGCCTTTCATTTTAGAAGCAATCCTTAAGCTTGGTCCATATGAAAATATTTACTTATTCACCACCAGACTTAACTGTAAATGACAGATACTTTTAAATGCTGAATTGGAACCATTAAGCAACATTCCAAAGAATAAGATCCATACTCTGAGGGTTAATTTCAAAAGTTGTTATATCAGGTATTCAAGATATGCTCATTTGGGGCCGCTTGGGAAGAGAACTATCTTAACATGATTATGCTTCATTTGGCAATGAGCTTTTTCAAACCATAAGCCATTGTATGAATTTTCCATTTCTGCATAACACATTGCCCCAAAACTTAGCATAAAACAAGAAACATCATTTTACAGATTCTGTGGGTCAGAAATTGAAGAAGCTTAAGTTCAGTGGTCTGGTCAGAGGTCTCTCTTGAGGTTAGAGTCAAATTGTCAGTCTGGACTTAGTCATTTTAAAACTTGGCTGTGGCTAAAGAATTCCCTTCCAAGCCCACTCATGTGGTCATTGACTGGCCTCAGCTTCTCACAGACCATTGAATGAAAAAGCCCTTGATTCCTAGCTAGGTGTTGGGATGGAGACCTCCTCCACATGGGTGTCTCCATAGGGCAGCTCACAGCTTAGCAGCTGGCTTCTCCAGAGCTAGTGACCCAAGAAAAAGTGCATGCCCATGATGAAAGCCAGTCTTTTTAATAACCTATTCTTTGTGTTGCCATAGTCTGTATGTTAGAAGTGAGTCACTGGGTCAGGCCCACACTCAATGGGAGGAATAGTAAGCTTCATCTCAGAAGAAAGGCATGTCAAAGAGTTTGTGGATGCATTTTTAAAACCACCACAGCCATATTGCCACATCTATGTGTATATGCAAGACAACATTGATGTTTTGATCTTCCAAACATCTTTAGAGATAAGATTTCATTCTTTTGCAGGCAGATTTCAAGGCACGATTCCCCCTAGATCGCATCAATTTCCTTTCTTGCCCCACATCTTTCAAAAATGTTTCAAGGCTAGAAAATTACAGTTGTAGGATGGCATCATGAGTGGAAGTTGGCAGTTTGGTTTAAATATAGCATACTCAGATAACTAAGTCACTATATTAGTCAACTGGCAACTTTTGGTTAGAATAACTTCAGCAACTTGAGAGTTAAGGGGTTTATTGGCCTTATTCAGATTTCAGAAACATTGGGAAATATGAGTAGATAAAATGGAGGGAAAAATTTTTTAATATGTTTTTATTGATTTGGAAGAGTGAGGGAGATAGAAAACATGGATGAGAGAAAAACACATCCATTGGCTGTCTCCTTGCATGCTTCCTGCTGGGAATGGAGCCTGAAACCTGGGCATGTGCTGTGACTGGTAATCCAACCAGTGACCTCCTGGTGCATGAGTTGACACTCAACTGCTGAGCCATACCAACCGGGCAGAAATTTTTATTAGAGAAGATAATCTGAATCTATGATGTCCAATTTGGTAGGTACTAGCCACATGTGGCTATTGAGCATTTGAAATATGGCTAGTTGAATTTTTTATATTTAAATTTTAAAACTCAAGTAGTGTTAAATGTTTTTTGTTAAACAAAACTTTGTTTTAGGAGGATTACATTTCACTTTAGTCTTTGAAAATTTAGTGTCCGAGTTGCGATGCACTGCTAGTGTAAGATATCAGATAGCAAAGATCTATTACCCCCAAAAAGGAATATAGGAAATTTCACTATTTTTTATTTATTTATTTATTTTGTTAATCCTCACCCAAGGATATTTTTCCATTGATTTTTAGAGAGAATGGAAGAGAGAAGGAGAGACGGAGAGAAACATCGATGTGAGAGAAACACATCAATTGTCAATTGGTTGCCTCCTGCAGGAGCCCTGACCAGGGCCCTGGGCCAGGGAGGAGCCTGCAACCAAGGTACATGCCCTTGACTGGAATTGAATCTGGGACCCTTTGGTCCACAGACTGATCCTCTATCCACTGAGCCAAACCAGCTAGGGCTCTATTTTTTTATTTTGATTACATATAAATATTTTTGTATACTGAGTTATATTGATATTTGATGTATTGGGTTAAATAAAATATTTAAATTTTATCTTTAATAAGGCTACTAGAAAATTTTTAATTACATATATTGGCTCACATCAATATTAAGATTTTTAAGTGGGCAAAGTATATAGATCATACAATCAAAAGGGAAAAAAGTTTTAAAAAGACTGAGGCTTACTATTACTGGGTTTTGTTTTGTTAATCCTCACCCAAGGATATTTTTTCCATTGATTTTTTAGGGAGTGGGGAGGAGGAGGAGGAGAGAAAGAGAGAAACATCAATTAGTTGCCTCCTGCATACATCTCTACGAGACCCTAGGAATCAAACCTGCAACCCAGGTATGTGCCTTTGATCAGGAATTAAACCTGCAACCCTTAGTGCACCAGCCTATGCTCTAACCACTGAACACACTAGTCAGGGCTATTACTGGTTTGTTTTTTAAGATTAAAACAAGCCCTAGCCGGTTTGGCTCAATGGATAGAGCGTCAGCCTGCAGACTGAAGGGTCCCGGGTTCAATTCCGGTCAAGGGCACATGCCAGGATTTTGGGCTTGAGCCCCAGTAAGGGATGTGCAGGAGGCAGCCAATCAATGATTCCCTCTCATCATTGATGTTTCTTTCTATCCCTCTCCCTTCCTCTCTGAAATTAATAAAGTACATGTATATATAAAATTATTCTCATTGATGTTTCTTTATCTTCCTCTCTGAAATCAATAAAAATATTAAAAGAAAACAAAATATTATTTTACCCCCTAGGATCATTTGGGGGGGTGTATATTCATTGCCCAAAATAGACTGGTCTCTGCCCTCAGGGTACATCTAACCTGGTCTGGGTGGTCAAAAAAGGCTTTCTTGAGACATTTAAGTTGAAATCTGAAGGATGGTAGACACTATGCCAGCAAAGATAAGCTGACAAAAGTATTACAGGAAGCCAGGCCAAAAGCATGGCAAATTTGAGAAACTAAGCAGTTGAGTATGACTAGAACATGGAATGGAGGGGCTGTAGCAGTGAGATGAGTCTGAAAGGGGCTGCAGAGGCCAGCGTGAGAGTCCTATGCAGTCCTGGGTGGACTTTCCCAGCCATGTTAAACTGTTTGGACTCTTTCCAAGAGCAAACTCAGAGCCATTGATGGGTTGAGTTTCAGGGAATGAGTACTTGATATAAAGCTGGTGGTGGTGTTTGATTGGAAAGAAAAAATTAGCAGAAAGTCCCATGGATTATATGGTCACCCAGTAGATTAAGGGTAGCTTAGTGAGCGTTGGAAACATTTCAGACCTGAGAAGCAAGTACAGGAGGCATAATTGACAATTTTCCCAGTTTTTCTTACCATGATAAACTGGTTGTATTGCCTTAACACTCCTAAATTTTTACTGGCTTAAAGACTTAACTCTTACTTGCTAAATACCCATCAGTGGTTGACCTAAGCTGACAGAGCAATCACTAGAGCATTGCCAACCATGTTACAAAGTCAAGAAGATAGTATAATGAAAAAGGCACTGGCTTTTGTTTTGTTTTTTTGTTAATCCTCACCCTAGGATATTTTTTCCATTGATTGTTAGTGAGAGTAGAAGGGAGGGAGGGGAAGGGAAAGAGAGACACACATCAATTGGTTGCCTCCCACACATGCCCCTATTGGTTTGAAACTGCAACCCAGATACATGCCCTTTACCAGGAATCCAACCCATGACCCTTGGTGCCCTAACCATTTTACAACACCAGTCAGTGCAGGGCACTGGTTTTTAAAACCTGAAATTGGCCCTGACTGGTTTGTCTCAGTGGATAGAGCGTCGGCCTGTGGACTGAAAGGTCCCAGGTTCGATTCCAGTCAAGGGCATGTACCTTGGTTGCTGGCACATCCTCAGTTGGGGGTGTGCAGGAGGCAGCCAATTGATGTTTCTCTCTCATCAATGTTTCTAACTCTCTATCCCTCTCCCTTCCTCTCTGTAAAAAAACAATAAAATATATATATTTTTAAAAACACCTAAAATTGACACACATGACTTCTGTTTACATTTTATTGGACCTGGAAAGTTACAGGGCTAACTTCACCTGGACAGGGAACTGCAATCCTACCTTTTGCCAAAAAAGTCAAAATATTTGTGAATAGCTGTAATGATTATCACAGGCCACTCTTTTTTTTTTTTTACCCTTAGGATGTCTGGGGTGGGATCAACTACTCTGTGTTTTATTTTTTTATTTTTTTTAATTTTAAGACTCCCCCCGCCCCCATGCAAAAGCATAAGAGTCTTTATTCAAGCCCGGGCTTGGCTCCCCTACCCTCCTTACTGTTGCAGCAGCAAGTGGCAGAGAGAGCTAATTTTAAGACTTTTAATATGCACACCACAGGCCACCCTTTCAATTATTAAATAAGTTTTCCTTTCCTCAAGAAAATACATTTACCTTGGGAGACAACCTCAAAGTCCCAGCTGGTCAGGCATTGAGCTAAAATTCTAAAACATTGGTTATCTGCCCTCTATATAGCCAGTATACAGTGGTGAAATAGGGACAGGAAAACTGCAGGAAACACTTCCATTCAAAAAAGGAAGGATAAAGTCACTGGTCTAACAATTATTCAATGTCATTGAGGCAACTGTCTGAGGCCCTCTGCC